ACCTGGTCTTCAAGACTTCTCATACGAAAGAGTTGTTCAGTAAAATATGTTTATATAAGTAGGAAAGGGCACACTCACTTCCTGAGCAGCACAAAGCATTAGCTAATTTCCTGAAGGTTTGGGTCATTTCAAGTATTTCACATCTTGAAAGGTCAACAGCTTCAGTAATGGGGAAAAGCCCTGGAGCACACGTCTGAGCAGCTTTCTCTGCAGAGTGCACACTTGGATGGCATTTATCTTGACGCTATCAATATTTACTAAAGATGGCTATAACATCACTTTGCTCTTGCTGCATTAGTCATGAAGGACACAGACCACAAAAACATGAGAGCAAATGGACTTGTGCTTACTGCATGCTCCCAAGCCTGTTGTAAAACCCCTGTGATCCTCCTCCTCACTCAAGGACATTTCATAGTGTCACAAGGTTAGAAGGTAATTCAGGTTGGAAGAGACTCCCAGAAGTCTCTACTCAAACCTCCTGCCCAAAGCAGGGTCAGCTCTGAGGTCAGATGCAGTTGCTCAGGGCTCTACCCAACTGGTCTTGAAAACCTCCACAGACAGAGATGGCACAGCCTCTCTGGGAAAGCTGTTCCATTACTTGACTGCCTTCACAGTGAAAGTTTTTCCTTAAATCCAGTCCAAACCTCTCATTTCAACTCATTTCAGCTGTTATGTCTCATCGTCTCTTCATGCACTGCTGTGAAGAGCTTGGCTCTAACTTCTTGATAACCTCCTTGTAGGCACTGGCAGGCTGCTGCTGGGTTCCTTCTCCAGGCTGAACAAGCCCAGCTTGACCACACCATTACTGCCATGTAATGGTGCCCCATTGCATGGGGCAGCTGTGGCCCACAGCCTGGGATCCAGCCATCTGGGGACACTTATGCTGTGGGTGTCTTTGGCTTTTTTAACAGCGGTAATGGTTCATGCATTAATTCAGCACAAGAAAACATCTGCGTGCCCAGAGTGAGCCAGATGTGGAGGTTTGCAGCATTGCCCCTGTACAGCACAACTTGCCAGTGCCCTTTACTTACTTTCCTTAAGTAAGGAAAAGAAGCCCAAGAAGGAAATTTCAGGTATGATTCCTGCTTTTACATGTTTCAAATTATTTTATGCTTTAAACATATGTTTGAGATGGGCTTAAAAAAAACTCCCAAAGACAAATGCTGCTGAATGCCACGGAGATTGAATTCCACCCCTCCCCGTTTCTCTGCCCTCTGTCCTTACGATGAGCTGACCAACATCCTCAGATTTCTTGCACCATAAATGTAGGAGTCCAGGCATCCAAATCCACCTCCACATTTTTTTTATTTCCAAAGCAGGTCTCTGATCCCAGCTAGCCTTTTTCTTCGTGTCAGGCTTTTACTATTTACAACCTAAACTAAGCTAGGTGTTCTCTAACCTAATTTTATTTCAGTGCTAATTACATCAGTATCTGCACCCAGGTCCCTGTAGGAGATGGCTTGGAGGGACCACAGAGCTGCTGCCAGCCAACTCTGCTGCAGGACTCATGTTTAGAAATAACAGATCTCTCCACTTGTCTGTTTTAGGAACCACTGTGGAGTCTTCAAGGAATATAAGTGTCATCTGAAATGCAATCACAGAGCACAACTGCAGTGGACTTAGCACACTGATTGAAAGCAAAGCTGAATGCTCTATAGCAACCACTCTGAGCACATCAAGCAGAGACTAGCTTCCACAAAAGCAGCTGGCTGTCCAGTCCTTTTAAAATCAGGCCACTTATTTAGGCACCTAGTTATAGAATTGGAAGGTTTTTTCCAGGCAGTGTTGGCACGGATGTGCACGTCTCAGTGATCATTTTATTTTATTTCAATTTTCATTGCAAATCATTTATGCTCATTTTGAAATAAAACGGCCATCAGGCAGAGCAGGAGACTAAGGAAATTACCCAGAACATGATAAAGAGCAATAGTAGCAGTCAGTATCCACTGCACCAGCAGCAAAACATGGTTTATGGAGAGGTGGTGCTGTCCGAAGCAGATGCCCAGCTGCCAACACACAAATTTTATCATAATGCCCCTGATATTTACAGCTTTTCTTAAATCCCCACCTTCTGGATTCATGGGGATTGAGAGATTATTAGATTCTAAAATGTCCCAATTTCCAAGTCCGTCTAAGGAGTTAGGGGGCTGATACACACATTTTGGACACATAGCATCAGCTCAAATAAAGATATGTGTTTTTCAAAATATGTCAGGTATCCCTTTAAGACTGCAATTTGGGCCTGATTTTAAAACCACCTCCAGGCAACCTTCAAGTTTTGCAGGCATAATTATGTGCAGATGAAAAGCTAGAGGCTGTTTATGAACAGGAGGCCTTTAATGTTTTATTTTCTGGCTGCACGTCCTGTAGCTTTCTGTATCCTGTTAATGTAGATTTTTTCCCAGCATTAATGGAGACTGCCCTTTGCAAGGTGCTGAGTTATTCCCAAGAAGTGCACTCTGCTACAAAGTGGAATATGTCCAGGAACGAAAAGGCTGTAAACAACTATTTATTCCACATCCACTGCAGATCTAGAAAGTTCTGTTCAAAACAGAAACTAAACCATGTCTCAGACACACCCTGCTGCAACCAACATGGTTAGTGGTTAACACAGAGGCCCGGGATTTTTATCAGCATTAGTCCTGGCCAGCCTACTGCAATGGGAAGGCAGCTCTTGCTTGGACCTTTCCTGCTAGGCAGCCCAATTCTGGCTGCTCCTGGCTGATGGCCACTCTTCTCAGAGTTTGGGATTAAAGGCATAAAGCAGAATTAGATCCTACTAGACTAGCATCTAATTAGGATTAGTGAATTAGATCCAAGGTAGGATAGCCAAGGTGAGATACCCTGAGTACAGTACTGCCGAGTCAGACAGTCTTCTGTCTTATCCATAGCCTCATACAAATGCCAGGCCCATGGACACTGCAGCTAATGTGACTCTCAACAACACAACTGGAATCACTGCAGCAGTGGCTAGGACAAGCTAGGGGTGGGATGGAAAGACCCCATTGCACAAACTCTTGCCAAGTCCATAGGAGCTTCTCTGCAGCAGGTAAAGCTCTGACAAAGAACCTGGCCTAAGTGAGTAGCACGAAACCTCCCTAGGGATGAGCTGTGACTGCAGAAACTTGACCACATGAATAAGAAATCTAAGTACACCCAGTGTTTACCCTCCATCTGCTTATGCTGCCCAGGCTGTACCACTGCCTGCAGACATCTCCATCCTCTTCCTCCACAGTTAGGTGCCAGGACAGAGCTGGGGCACCCACAGTTCTCTGCACTGCTCACTCAATTGAAGATGCGAGTGTCAACAGGACCCTTGCCAGGTTTGAGGGCGCACACAACTTCATTTGGTATATGGGAGAATGGGGACAGACAGATTAATGAACAAAGGGCCCAATACTGACCCTGCCTGTGAGGGAAAAGCATCAACATGGCTTTCTGCAGACTGTGGCATCCTGAGCTTCCCAGGGAGAAGAGGTGCCCCAGTGAAGAGATTTCTATTGCTTAGCTTTGGAGAGACAAAGTCACAGCCTGAGCCAGTGTATCAGTGAAATGAATTTTTTGCTATAACATAAAGGTTAAACTGCAATAAAGTTGCCAAGGCATCAACTCAATGATAGAGATAGATAAAGGGCATCTTTTTGCTAGAGTAATTTGGCCAAACTGCACAGACTTTCCAATTTATACCAGCAAAACACACAGCCCATGGTGACAGAGCAATGTGGTCTTACAGTACAAAACCAGTGTTGATGGATAGCTACGTGCCCTGGCTACTTGCCAGACCCAAATTAACCATCTGAGCTACTAGGATGGATGGCTAGGGGAAAAAATATAACTACCATCATCTCAATATTAGGACTGGTCTAAGTACTTCATTACCAAATCATTACTCTTCAATACAGCCTTACACAGTGGGAAAATGTTGATTTTATTTTACTGGAACAAATTTCCATTGGCTGACCCTAGGCATATTGCTGTAATTGATTTTTTAATATCAATATAAGTATATAACCACTTTATTCTATTGCTTCTCTATACCTTGGAGGTTCAGAACCAATGCCCCAATGTCAGCTTGCACTAGGGGTGCTCTGATCTGGAGCGTCATCTCTCCATCCACAGGGATGCACTTGTTAATAAATTGATTTCACATAGGAGTTAAGTGTTTTTCTCCTGGCACATGCAAGCTGCACACCTGCACTGATGTGGTCAACACAAGAGCAAGCGGGGACTTGCATGCATTTGCAACACCTACCTTAATGCAGCAGGAGCGGCGTTGAGAAGGAGTGAGCAATTTGTACCCAGGGATATGCACGCCAAGGGCAGGAAAGCATAGGAAAAAGCAGCCTGTTCCCTGCCCCCTGCTTTCCTCACTGCCCTCTGAGTACCTCCATTCCTGGAGTAAGAGGAGCAAACTAGGACTTCAGGGAGGTTTGACTTGCTTATTTGGGGTGGGTGGGGGGTCCTTGACCCCCAAGAAGCACCTGTGCTTAGAGGAGAGGGCCCACATGGATTTCTGATAGGTTTGTCAAGGCTGCAGTGAGATGTGCAGCTGATCCTCAGCATCTGCTAAAAGCCCTCCAACTTGTGATTTAACATCAGCTGTTTGCATGATTGAGCTACAGCTGAGAGATTTCTGGCTTTGTTGCTTGTAGGGGTGTGGTAGACCTTAGGGGGAGAATGATTAAGAAATGCTGCTGCCCAGGTTTCTTAACCTCTGTTGCTTTATGACTTCTGTGTCCTCTGTAATAAGACTGACCAAAAAGGAATTAAAAGTTTTAGGGCCTCGAGTTACCCAAATGATCTTGCCATCCTGAGGCAAGCAGCTCAGGCAAGCTACAGCCAGCTCAGCCTGTCGCTGTGGTGGATTTCTGGTGATGGGGGATCTGCAGCTCCCTGACATGCTTGGCCCAGATTGGGCTGACCCATCCCCACACTCAACCCTAATCTCCCTTGACTTCCTCTCAGCTCAAATCAGAGCAGTGCTGCTCCCAGCCTCTCACCTTGCCATCAGTGGTGACTGCAGCAAAGACGGTGGAGGAGTAAGGGGACCATGCAACGTCCCCTACAGCAGAATTCAGGTCATAAATAAACATCGGAGTCCTGTAAAAAAAGACCCAGGGAGAAGAAATCATTTAAACACATGCCACTCTGGAAGCAAAACATTGAGCTATAAACACTGTGATGCTGCAGCCTGTGTTGTTTAAGGCCAGCTGCAAAAGTGGGAGATGTGGTATTTCTCTATGTCAGAAGCCAGCCAGGGTCTGAGCCAAAGGCAAAACAACCCAAATGGGTTGGGATTGGTCCTGCTGTGATGAGAAGAAGGGTAGCATGCTTCTTTCTTTCTGAAAGCACTTTGAAAGCTTCCCCCCAACACACACATCAGGATGGAATCTCTCTGGTTAATAATCATATGGGAAAAAGTGATTTTCCCTCTCTGGACTTCTGACAACAACATTGAATATTAGAGCAGTATTGGCAACAGGAAATATTTGACTCTGACGGATTTACAACAAAATCAATTTCCTGATTGAAACCAGACATTCCTCAACCACTAGCTCTGAACTTCATTATGTATTTTTAAATGTTCTAATTTTTTTTTTTTTTCTTCTCTGGCTCTTAGGAGGTGTCTGGCCCCTTGAGGCCATAAGCCAGCTTCTGACATTTCTCTATAGCATTGCTCCAGAAGAATAACCCTGCCACAGTAGGTCCTGCCTGAAAAAAGCCAGGTTCAAAGTGAAGCAGTCAGGCTTTGTGCTGAGCTGCACTGCTGGGCAAGTTCCGGGGGCAGCTGATGCTAAATCTTATACCCCATACCTGGAGAGTACAAATGTGAGTCATCAGCCCCCAAAACCGAGACAAGAGAGCAGTTAGCAATATCAACACCTAAGATGGAAACTGAGACTGAGGTATGAGCAGAGTCGACATGTGCAGCTGGCATGTTAGGCTGGACCTCCCTGCCCATGCCTGGACCCAGCAGGACGTACTTGATGGTGTGATCCCAGATCTTGACTGTCCAGTCAGAGCTGCAGGAAATGAAGACTTTCAAGTGGTAGGGATTCCAGCTGACTGAGTCCACAGCCATGTGATGGGCTTCAAACACATCCAGAAACTGGCTTGAATAGCATTTTGAACACTGCAATGGAAAGAACTAGTCAGTAATCAGAGCTAGACCTTCTTCTGGAGCTCATATTCTTGCAGAAAGATACCTCTGAATACTTGGCCTCCCAGGCTCTTCTGGGCTGACTGGGAAGAGGTGGGCTGGTACCCAGAGGTGCTGCAGAAACTAAATAATTTAGCACATGCTGTTTCACCCCACTTGCAGGCAACATCAAGCTACCCTCTGCAATACACAGAAGTAGGAATTGAAGTTGTCTGGTTGGATTTACAGCCAGAACCAGGCTCCAGAGCCCATTCTCCATTGCAGGAGCTCCATCACCTTCCTGCCAGCCTTGGGTCCTGCTGAGCCTCCGTAAAAGACTCTCGGGAAAGGCAGGGGAAAACAGCTCTTCTGTTGCTCTGGAGCACACAGCACTATGTGCATTTGAAGTGTCACAATTAAAACCTCCAGTAATGGTGCTCCCAGCACAAGAATGACCTATCAGACCCTTTGGCTCTAAGGATTTTGGGAACATGCCAAAAGTCCCTTCCCTGCCATCACCCTGCAACAACCTGCTCTGAGAGCCTGCCCCATCACACGGCTCTGCAGCTCTTTCTCTTGTGCCACTCGTGACTTCCCGGAGGGGTCTGAGAACCATGAGAGGTTGGCCAGCACTCAGGCATGTCCCTGACGGGCAGGTGGCCCACGCTGTACCCCAGCCAAAAGCAGCCTGTGAACTGGGCAAACCCTGCACATGCACGTGAGGGTCAGGCCAGCAGCATCACAGCTGCAGGTGCTACTGAATGGCAAAATGTAAGATGTGTGCAAGAGCTGCAAAATATTTGGGAACCTTGGAAAAGTCACTTTGCATATGAGCTCATGAAGGGGGGGAGAAATGACAATCTGCTTGCCTGCACAAGCAGAATATGGGACTCAATCCAGATCCTGTCAGTTCTGTGTACACAGAAAAATGAGGTTATCCTCTCCAAACCTGATCCCCTCTGAGGGGACTGAAGGCTTCCTTCATTAGCAACAAGGACCTCATCTCACAAGTAATGGCCTCTTGGTTGTGTTCTCACACACAAGCTGTATCCACACAGCAGGTTGGGATTGGTGTCAAGATTTTCTGTTGGTTTGCCTTAGTACTGTCTCTACAAGCACTTTTCATCATCTTTCATTACTCCCTAATGAACGCAGCAACACATCATCGGCCCAAGCAGCAGGATTGCTGAAGTGTTACTGAAGTGACTTTAATTCTTGCAAACCAAAGCTCTAACTAATCATAAGGCTTAACTGTTTATTACACATGACACTCACTGTCTGGGTACTCAGACCTGTTTTCTTCTGATGCCTTTGTGCACTAGCACAGGTCCTGGATTGAGGGTGCTAAACTATTCACACAGCAGCAGCTCCTACATCCCTGGGAGGCTTGCTGTGGTAGGAAAGGGAAACAAGAAAGTGGCTTATGTCCCACTGAGATTTACTGACAGTGCCTATAGCTTGTTAATAGTTTGGTGCATACTCTGCCTCTGAGTTACTGTCCCTGTCTGTAATTATGGGACTGAAATCTCCTTTAATGGCATGTTTCATAACTTTACTTCATAATTCTTAATGTTCAGCCACCAGGAAAATTAGTACTTGGCTTGTTTTGAAAGTCACATTGCTGGGAACAGACAGAATAGGTCACGAGTAATTAACACAAGAGAGAAGCTGCTTTATCCGTCTGTCTTTCCAAGTATGTGGATTGAAGGTCCCTAATACCTGAGGACTTTGAAGAGTGAGATCCTAACCAGATTTGTCTGCATCCAACAGAACTCAGTCAACATCCAAGAGTAATGCTCAGCGCTGTGTTTTTAAAGCCTTGTTGGGGCTGAGCCCTTGACCAGTGCAGCTCTGCGGGCACTGGTACGAGACGCCCGTCATGCTCTGCAATGTGCTGATCCACAGCACTGGCTTTGCAGTCTGCAAGTCTGGCCCAGAGCTGAGGCCCAGGCCCTGACAGGAAAGGGATCTGCAGTTTTCCCATGAAATCACCAGCAAAACGGTTCTGTAGGGCAGATGCCCCGCTGTGTCCCTTGTGAGAAATGACCCCTGTGTGCCTGCTTTAGCCTAAGGCCATACACTGTGCTCTGGCAGTGCCTGCCAGCCGCACACCGTGTTCACCCCAACCTTTGGTATTGTCTCTGATGTGCAAGACAGGGCCATGTTCTTCCCAAGATGCATTTTGAAGAAACACCACAAACTTGAGAAAAAGCTCAGAAAGAAGTATGACTTTAACAAATAGAAGTGTTTCTGAGCTAACTATAACTGCTGGCAAAGTCTTCCCCTACTATTCACTTTAAAACCCCTACAGTTATTAGACACATGTCAGGATGAAAACAAAACCACTGGAAAATGTGACGCCTAACTCCTGACAAGACAGCTTTGAAGAGGATGAGAAGATTCAGGGAGCAGGCATTTGTGCAGCCTGTCTGATCTTCTAGAGTACTACTCCAATTTGCTGAGAGTGTTTTTCTCCTACTTAAATGGTGGTAGATGTGTGTGAATAGTAAATGGTATTTTTATGATAAGACAGGAAAGCAAGAATGAGTCTATGGCAATACAGGAAACCAGTATGAAGATGATTGGTGACAGGGCTACAAAACATAGGGAAGGAATACTGGGAAGAAAGGAGAACTCCAAGGACACAAAACTTATGAATAATCTTCATTAACAGCACTTCAGTTTACACTAGACATTACCCTGACACAAAACTCCTCCGCATCCATGGTGAATGTATGGTTATTAGTGTCCTTATAATGTGGAGGGTTTCTTTAGTTCACTAACAGAAACATTGAGACTTTAGGCAATATAGTAATCCAAAAAATAATCTTTTTCAAAGGAGGTTTGTATCTGGCAACAGAAAGAGCACTGCCCATCACTGGCACTCCCAGGCAGATCAGGACACCCAGCTGCTCTTCAGGAACTACCGACACAAACATGTCCTGTGTTGTTGTGGCCAGCTGTGACCAGCAACATCAGAGGGTCTCCTTGGTTTTTGCTCAGTGCCTTCTTGTAGAGATCTGTAATGGGAATGCTAAGATTTGTAGAAAGGCTTACAAATGGAAACAGTCATGTGAATGCATCGGGAGAAACAACATGAAATGGTAAAAGAACGAACCTGTGTTAATTGAAGGCAAATGCAGTCAGTCAAGTGACAAGATAACTGCACAGAACAAACAGAAGTCCCAAAGATAAGGTGGTGGGAAGATGAGGAACAGAACTGAAGCTATAAAATATCCAGACAGGGAAAACAACTTTGCCTAAGAGAAAGCAAGACTAGACACCGAGGCAAATGATCTCTCCATTACTAAAGGGTCACTGGAAGTTGGAGCCTGTCCAGAAACCATTTTGTCATCATCATTTAAGGAAAACCCAAGAGATGTAATAAGGATTCAACAGCCAGCATCCTTTGTCATCTGTATAACAACAAGAAATCCTGTCCTGACCACACAGATACAAATGTCCTGGTGCTTAGTATGATAGAATGAGTATGAGTGAAATTAGTTTTGTTTAAAATTAGAGTAACCTTTTCCTTCTATACAGTCTTGCACTGAGTTTTATTATATTCATTTATTACACTCTCAAGAAAACTGCCTAAGACTGAAAAAAACCTCTCTCTTACATGAATATGTTCAAATCTCATCACAATTTTTCTGTTGAAGCTGTGTTTATTAAGAAGTAATTCTGACCAAAGAGTTGAAGCCACAATAATGTCTCAGTATGAATCTCCAAGACCATGCTTTTTGATACCAAAGCTGAACAATTCCTAAACAGCAATTAAGATATGCAAAGAGGCAGTTTTGCATTACAGAATCATATTAATGCAGAAACAGTTTGTCCTCTACGTAAAAGGGCAATAGATAAGTCTGTGTGTAATTAAGATAATGATTTCTTGGCTTCAGAAACACTATTAACTAAGCCATATTTAAAAATTCAGCATAATTGTTCTGCAGCTAAAGAATTAACATTTTATCATGCTATTTGTGGGCATGCCTGGTCTCTGAAAAAAATGCCTCTGTGAAATTCACTTTTCAATTTATTTAAAAAATAACCTAAAATTCACATGGAGAGCAGCCCATGTTTGATCCCTGACTCATACAGCAGGTGAGGAGCCTGTCCCTCTCACTCAACGTGCAGCAGCAAGGACAAGTGCAGCACAGAGACCCAAGCAGCTCACTCCTGCTCAGTGCAGCCACAGAACCCAAGAGCTGCTCAAACAGCTGCGGGACTGTCACTGTCCTCAGCATCCAAGCAGAGCAAGGCTCTGGGAGGCAGTCCACAGGTAGCTCCAGTAATGGGTTCAAACATGCAGTGTTTCAATAAGGGTGTGATGAAGGTTGTATGGTAGTCCTTGAGAAATGTCTGGAGCAGCAGCTGATCCCAAAACTTTTGAAACTGCTTGTAGCAAACTCTCGGGGGACATTAAGGGCGCAAGCACTCTTCCCCCTGGTTTTGTTGATACTATGGAGGCCTGCTTGTGCTAGACACCAGATTTCTCTTCCCTGTGTTAGCCCATAAAATCTGACAGAAGATCGTCTCTTCCTGCCCATGGGAACACCTGAGTTGTATAGGGCAGTGTTGCACAATGTAAGAGTGGTCCCACTTTTCGCTAAGGCTCACCAATGCAGGAATGTTTTGTTGCTTACCAGTAACCCTGAAATCAGCCTTAGCACCAATAAAAGATAAGATCCCGTATAACAGTATCTCTCTGCATTTGTCCACCCAAGAGGTGGTTAAAATATCCGTGTGGCTTCATGGCTGGGATCACTCCTTATGTTAAAACACCATCCTAGTTCTAGTTTCACTGAAGATCATCCAAGGCAGGAACACCTACAGCTTTGTCAATGCAAATGCTGCCAAATTCTGTTCCTTTTCAGTCCTCCTGCATGAAGGATTTCCTTTGTTGTGTAACTCAGCCAGGACGCCAGCCTGAACTTTTCTCTTGAAGAGTAACTGATGGCCCCCACCTAACACTGACATCCATTGTCCTATTTACTGACATCCGTCACTCACCTAAGCATAAAGGAAGTTAAAACATGTGTTACCTCACTGCTTTTTGATCAGAACTAGACACAGCAGTACCCAAACAATGTGGAGTACAATACCCAGAGTACCAACTCCTGTGGGTGACCAGCCAACTTGGAACATCTGTCCATGACTGAACAGATGCTTTGTATCCTGAAAGCATCAACAAAAAGCCATTGCACCTACCTCTCTGCCCATCAGCCCAGCCCCCACACTTCTCCCGCCTCCCTTCTGCACCTGTCTTGTCCAATGCAAGTGAGCATTACTCAGAAATCCTCCCTAGATAGTGCCTTGGTGGAGGGCGAGATTTCAATCAGCATCATCCCTCTGGAAGGGATACGTATTTGTTAAGTCTGTCTTGCCTAAATGATTGATATTGATTTCAGAATACTATTTCCTTTGGGTTCTTTTTCTCTGTTTTGTTTCCCTTTTGCAGGCAGGACATGGGGAAGGAGCTTACAGCATCCTCTAGGGATGTCTGGATGGATCTGCTCTGCATGTCAGCCTCCTGCTGATGGTCTGCTCCCCACACTGAAGGGCTGTGGCTACAATAGTAACAAAGCCCCAAAGCCAGCTCAGAGGAATGCTGTGCAAACAAAAGTTATATGAGTAAGCAGCTACTGGCTTTATTTTCAAGGCTAAATACAGCAGACCACAAAACTGCTTACTTTGAGCTTGATTTCTTAAGAAAACACATCTGTGTCCTGCTGTCTGCTTGTCTCTCCTCCCAAACAACTTTTGACCTCACTGGAAATTTCAGCCAAAGCTGGCTGCACATGGGACTTGGTGATATTAAGGTCTCACACACTCTATAAAAAGGGATGGCCATGGAGTGCAAATATCTGGGCAGTGCCCCCGTGCCGGGAAGGGCAAGCAAAGCTTGGCTGCTTCCCTCACCACATGGCTGGAGCTGGCGGACAGCTCCCAGCTGGCACTGGGCACCAGGAGACGGCAGGTCAGGCTGCAGGAGGGCACTGGAGGGGAGGTAGCCAGCACTGTCTGCAGGAGCCAAGGGTTACAGCATGGAGGTGGGATCACTGAGCTTGGAGACAGCATGGGGGTGATCAGAGGGAGAAAAGATCAGAGCAGATAATGAGGAACCGGAGATAGGAGGGCAAGGAAAAAGCAGGACTGGGGAAAAGATGTGGGATGTAATTGTGGAAGGGAAGGGCTGCAGGACACCAATCCATAGGAAACAAGGCTTCATTAGCCTCACTTCTTACAGGATAACAGATCTAAAAAGGAAAAGAGATGAGATTTTTCCTGGCATTTCCCCATAGCCATGAGGACAGAGGATCAATGCCTTTTAACTTGTGCTCTGATCATAGTTAGTGCCTCACTTGCACAGCTGCAATCTGCAAAGCATTCTGGGATGCAGTTTGCATGAAAAACGTTTCTGCAAAATAAGGTCTTAATTGGGTCTGTGCAGAGAGCTCCCTGCGACCCTCTGTGGCTCTGTGCTGGTCTCAGGCTCACCACAGGGATCCAAGGGCAGACCAGGCTCTGAAGTTGTACTTTGTTACTGCCTGAGCAAACAGTTAAGATGATGAACCTGAAAGACAAGCATGGGTTAGGGGATGTAAAACAAGGGACAAAGAAACCGTTCTTACCTTATAGATCTTTCCCTCTTCAGTACCAACGAGAAACAAATAGTCTATCTTTTTGTGAAAATCAAACGATGTCCCACAGCCTGTTAACAGAAGAAAGGTCTGTCAGACAGAGCATTGGTTCATCTGGTCAGCACACACTCCCTGCCTATGGTACACACACACACTGCCAGCATTTTCAGAAGTGATATATTAGCCAGAAGCTCCCAAAAGAAATTAGAGCCACCCCTTCTGCAAACACTTTCCAAGCTGTGCCTATTCCCAAGACCTGCAATTTGAAAAGCCAACACAGAGAAAGGGAAAAGGGAACTGGAAGAACTGGAAGGGAACTGGAAGAACAGATTGGCCCAGAATTCACTTTGGTAAGAATTTAAAATGCCTGGTGCAACTGCAAGAGTTGTGAGGACCAGGCCTGCCTCCTATTGGGGAAGAACAGATCTTTTCTGTTTATTTAGTATTCCCAAAAATATAAATGGTTTCCCATGCATAAAAGAGAGGACATACCACATCACACGTCCCTGTGCCCTTTTCATCCTTAGCTCAGAAGCCATTTAGCAGGCTCACTTCTGTAAAGCCAATAGCAAAGAATGTGATTTGGGAAGAAATCTTCTGCCAGGCACAGAAGGATTCTCTTAACTTCAAAAGCCCTGAATCAAGCAACATTGTGAACTGTGTTTAAAACAAGTGTCAACCACAACAGGATGTGACTCCTTGAGATTTTCTGGCTTCTGCTCCTGAGGCAGATGCAACATCATGCAAGAAAGACAATTCGTATGGTGGTGAAAGAAAATTTCAGCAGGGTCCTTGAGCATAAGATGGGATGCCTGCTGAGTGCCAGAGCAACCTGGGGCTGTTGACCAGCAGGGACACCCACAGCAATCATCAGACAAGAAACAGGAACAAGCAGACAAGGCTCAGAAGCACATAGTTACAGATAACTTTCTGCAAAGGCAGCTGTCTTAAATGTTATGTCTTAAACGTTAATAAAATGTAGTCCTCAAAGGAATTGTTAAGGTCATTTCAACCCTGTAATACTGTCTGTGTTTTTAACATTTAAATAGATTGTTAAATATTCAAGACAAATCTTTGAAAATGCATTTCCCATTAACACTAACAAATAATCCCAAAGCCCCTGGGAGTTCTGCAGTGTACTGCTTTAGCTGGTCTCTTGCAACCCATGTGGCAATGCAAACCTGCTCACAAACAAATTGTTCAGCAGTTACTAGCCTAGAAACACAGCAATCCTTAAATGCAGAGCAAGTGCCTTTTCCAAACTGAGGGCCCAGCTTCAGAGCCAAAAGCAGGTGCAGTAGGATGCTTAGGGGATTCTTCAAGGATCCCTGTGTAGTCCAGGACCTCCAGAGCTGACTCATCCCTTCCTATCTCAAACACAGGATGGTCAGGATGAGGGGATTCAGCCCAGAAGGACTGCACTGTCTCCACCCTGTATGGAGGGGAGACTAACATAGTAGCTCAGAATAGATGCTGTGCTTTTAGAGAGCCCAAACCCGATGAGGCACATCCCACCACTGGCTGGATGAGCTGTGCACCCAGGAAAGGTCAAAGGTTGCTTTTCATCTTGATTTGGACAGTCCAAATCAATGTCCGGTAGGAAGAACAAAACTGACTTAGTTTTGACAAATACAGGTAATGCATGTGCCGTGTTCACATTGGGATATCCCAGTAAAATGGACATTTTTTTAAAATTAACATTCATCTTTTTCTGCAAGTAAAGGCAAGACATAACCAGCAAAACTTGACTCAATTAGTGGCCATTGCTCCAGACAGACTTTGCCCTACTACGTGATGAAAGCAAGGAGGTGTAACCCTTCTTTAGTTCTTCTCCATCTCAACCCCCCACTCCCAATTTAATTCCCCAGAATGACTGATTAGAGGCTTTGTGTCAGTAATTAATCAGCATGGTAAGGACTTGGGCTCCTACCAAGCGTTTGCAGCTGCAGCCCCTCTGGCCCCTGCATCGTTGTTCCCTCTACTGACAGCTTGATGACATCTGTATGAACCAGCTCATTCTGCAGGCAGAGGAGATTCCACATGAAGAACAGGCTTTACAGCAACAATACAGAGACATTCAGTACTTTGAAATGGCAAATTTTATGGAGGAATTTTAAAAAGCTGTCCAAAAGTTGCTTAATGTTTCATGCTCGCAGTTGGCAACTTGCTAACATGCTGTTTTACGTAAAACCTCCAGGAAACTGATGCTTTGGTGCACTGGAAATGAGAGCCACTGGTACATCACCCAGACACATGCAGCTGACCTGGAAAGCTTTGGGTTTTGGGGTCAGCGTTTTTGAGTGGAGGTTGACACTGTCAGCTTAGATCATTGTGTTAAGTGAAATCACCCTGCAGGGTTTAAGATGGGCATTGCATATGATCATGTAGCTTAGTAAAACCCACACTAATGGATAGTAACTTACCACCTTGCCAGTCGTTGCATCTTACCATCTTCCTGTTATCCCCAGAGCAGCCTCAGTTCCCAATACTCACAACCTCACGGGCTCTAAGATTCAAATAACAACATCTGGCAAGCAGCTCCCCCAAGGGAAAGTGCACAATGTTGCTGTTATCAGCAGAGCTCTAAAGGGATCTCATTGCAGGCCCCAATGCTGCTGTGCTAGGTGCTGTATGAACACAGGGCAAAAAGACTGTGTCCCAAAGAGTTTACAGTCAAGGTGGGAGACAGAAGACATGAAAATAGACACAATGTGGGTGAGTATGAGGAAACAACGAGAGGGCAAAGATCCATTCTTAGACTAGTTTTGGGAATTAAAATACCACTGCAGAATGGAGTTGGTTGTGAATATAAGAATACCCTGGGGCTCATAAAAAGAACAAAGAACTAAAGATTAAATCAGCGAGCAGTGTGGGCTGAGGACTGGATGTTTTCATGAATCTGCGGATTTCCCACTGGAGCACTGTGAGAACAAAATATAACTTCTTAGCTCAGTGAATCAAGCTTTAGTTGAAGCTTCTCTAAGCCCAGAGCAGGACTCAGGTGGAAAAAGATTCTGCCTGGCAAAGTCAATCCCAGGCAACTGCATGTTAGGGAAGGTGGGAGAAGACCTTGTGAGCATCTGTTCAGTACTGCAGTTCAGGGGGGACAGTGTTCTGTGACATTTTTGTCATATTTTGGGGGTACAAATTTACAGGATTATCAAGAAAGGTCAAAACCCAAAAAATAATGTACTTCCTTCTCACTAATTTGCACTCCTGCACACCCATGTGCCCTGGCCTATTGATGGCAGTACCTGTTCTCTGAGAGAGCAGCAAGAAGCAGGACAAGACTCCCGCTGCCTGCAGAGTCCTACCTTCTGTTGGTGGCTCTTCTTGCATCACGTGGGTTACATCAAGTCAGATTCCATGGGTAAAGGCAGGAGTGATACTAAGAAAGAGGCCCTATATGCTGGTGTACGTGTGCAAGAATTGGAAAGAGCATTGTTCAGAGCATCCAAGAATAGAGCATATTCCATGTGCTGCTCACTGCCCATCCAAACAGGAGTGCTGATGGGCTGCTGGGAGCACAGTCAGGACAAGCTGAGCAGGCACTTGCCTCTGCTCAGGCTCCCAGGTCTGCCTGCTCTCCAAAGAGCATCTGCCATGTCCAAGCTATGGCTGATGGCCATATGAGACTGGTCTGAAGAGCAGCTTTGGAGCTGCCTGCAGCTGATCATGTTGATATACCCCATGTATCTAACAGAGGTCAGATGCATGATCTGGGCAGGACCAGAGATGTGCTAGCACACTTACTCTCTGTTCTAGTAGTAAGGCAAACCACGTGAGACCTTCTCTCTCTTAGCACACACCTTTCTGCAGCCTTCCTCTGAAGATGCCTCCCAGAACCTCCACCTGGCCGAGGCCTCTGTGGACAGCTTCTGCAGCCTCTCGCCTCCACGAAGGATCTTGTGCAGACTTCCCTGCTGTACTGCTTTCATTTCTTACCCAGCTTTGCAGTCTGGAAAATGCAACTGTTCCTGGGGCTGTTTGTCACCAGACCCATTCACATATTCCTCTGGGTAAACAGACTGTCAACTGTTTGGCCTTCCAGGAATACTGAACAATAGTATGTTGCTTCTGCCTAACAACTGTAAAGCACTTTGTAAGCTTTAGTGAATTAGACCTTGCAGCTGCCTGTTTCCCTTTAGTTGTTATTAGCCTCAAGTGATGAAGGAGGCCCAAAGCTGTTCAGTAATTTAGCTCTAGGTCATGTAGGAAGGGTGAACTATGGCTACTAATCAAACCTGGGATTGCTGAGGATCGGCCTGAGAAGCAGTGCCAGGCTGCATCCCAATCAATTCCTTGACGTAGCTCTGACAGCTCTCCCTTTTGATAGGCAACATGTGCACCCAAGGTGGGAGAGTAGAGTCATCTAGCTGCAGAAGTCCTGCAACCTTCCTCACTGTTTTACACCTTCATGATGACCCAAAACCAAGCCAAGACGATAGCCTAAGCACACACAGCTCATGTGCTGTCTCATGAAGTTTGTCCAAAGTCATAGTGCCCATTTCTAACAGAGACACCCACTATGGTGAAGGCAGATCAATTGTCTCTAGCTAACATTTGACAACTCTTCTATCCAGTTTTGCGTGTGGCTTTCCAAATATCTGGCTGGAAGTAAGAATGAAATTATTCATTTTCTGCTCTCAGCTTTGGAAGTGTCAAACAGCTATCAGTGTTTGAAGAAGCTTTACTTCTGGATAGTCCTGTCAAAAAGATTAACAAAGCTCTCTTTCATTTATTCCCTATTTGCACTACGGATTTGCAGAACAGAAGACCTCTGGAGTCTCTTCAATTTTATTCTAAATAAAACCCAAAGATAGGTCTTTTGTAAAACTGGCATTCAAGCAGATTGTCCATTTCTCCTTGCTGGGCACAAAACCACAGATTGTAACAAAACGCCCTTTTCATTCTGTTTCTTGCTTTCCCTGTTGAATCTCCATCCAAAAAAAACCAGACAGCACCTAAAACTTTGCTGTTTTCCACCCCTGCCTGCTAAGTACATACCAGCTCTGGCAATTTCAGAGGTAACTTCACCTCAGAAAAAATCTTAGAACAGTGCTTTTCACATGGGTGTGGCCAAGTTTATAACAGAAGTACAAGGAATAAGTAGAAACAACATTGTGCTAAGCGGATGCAGGTCTTAGAATTAACACCAAGGGTGCTTAAGTAGGTATATCTACATGATCAAGGGACAGAAAAAAAACACAGCTTACAATGTGGGAACACAGTTAAGCACAGATGAATCAGAGAAATGTTGCAAAAGACCCTCTACCAGGTGAGCTGCAGTCAGAGTCCATCTGCAGACTCTTAGGTTGTCCCAGTTGTGCATTTCTCTGAAGTAAGAGGCTTAGCCCAGTGTTCCTTGCCTCCTAAGCGGAGCAGGCTGAGCACACTCAGTTACTGGGGCTCAGCTGATACGTGTAACCTGCCAAGTCACCTCAGCCAGATGTGTTTAGCTGTAGGCATGTATTACCCACTTCAACATAAATCTTTTGGGCATTTCTATACAGGGGATGAAACAGGAGCTGAGTGCTGGGACAATGTCAGCCCATCCCTGTCAAGGAAGCTGTGAGAGCTCTTTTGGGAGAAGAACTTGGGACAAACTTGCAGGAGGGATTTTTGTATGTAAAGCTGCATGTACAAACCTGGAGGAGTTTATAAAAAAGAATTTAATAATCAATACCATCTGCATGCACCTACTGTGTTCATTAGAACTCCTGAAGCAAACAGGAAACTAAGATTTACGTTAGACATGAATCCCTGCCTATGGCAGCAAGGCCTAAATTTTCAGAACAGACAAGCCTTGAGTACCTTGGTATAACAGGTTGAAAAAGTGAGCATCCAAAGATGTAAAGAAATTTCTTTGCTTGTTGGGGAATAATGGGACAGCTACTTCAAACTCATATTTAGGGCAATTAAATTGTTTTTTAAGTAAAAGATTTTGAATCTTGAAAATGTAACATCAAACAGCCAACAGAAAAAAGCACATGCTGAGATTCAGAGACATAAATCTAAGGGTCATTTAGGGACATTAATGCCAAGTTTCTATCAAAGTACATACTCCAAAAGAAAAAGTGATCAAAGGCAGCGTATGCAAACAAGTTAACAGAGGTTGTCTTGGGTGTGAGCTGGCAATGTCATGGCAGGGAGAAACCCTCTGCCTGTCTGATTGCATGTTGCCATCCCACTGCAAATTGGAGTTTACTCTGTGCTACTTCGGCCACAGGGGGAGAAATTTGCACCTTCCCTCTCCCATTCTGAATTGCAATCTGTAGGGGACCATTTTGGGGGTAAAAGACTTGAAGCTGGGGAAGAAAGCACATTATTCTGCTGTGTCTCTATCTGACCCTTCTGGGACAAGGAAAGTTTCAGAGCAAGGACCAGTCTTGAATTCCTGCAACTGCAAAGCAGGAAAATGATCTCTTGTACTCAGGCCCATGGGATGCTGCAGGGGCAGGCAGGATGAAGCAGGTCCTGAGCAAGGACGAGGCTGGTTCTGCTCATTTCAGAGTTAAACATGGAGCCCCAGACCCAGCTGTGACTGCACCTGCAATCTTTTGCTGCCACTTCTTTTCAAACCTTGCCCATTATAAATAAAAATAAAACTAATGCATCATTGAACTTTGGAGGCAATTAGTTATAATTTGGCTGGGAAAAGAAATTGCCACCTACTGTTTACCTTAACTAAAGTCCATGAAACAATCCGCCCATCTGAGGAGATGGAGAAGAAGTTCAAATTGTTGTCCATGTCATCCTTCTGCCACTTGACCTTAAAAAAAGAAGACAGTCCCAGTCAGTACAGGGCAATCAGCATTAGCAGGAGAGAGTTCCATGCCCTCAGCAGGGTCTTCTGAAATCCTTCCTAAAGTGCAGCTGGTTTCCACCCCAGAAGCCTGCTGGTGCATAGCATGTGTGAACACCCTCACCTCCACAGGCAGTTTCAGAACTGCCCCCAGCACTCCGGTCACTCGCTTTCTGCCTGGATGCTCCAGAGAGGGGGAAAAGTCCCACACCTGGGGACTCTGCACCTACCCATGGTCATCTGCCCCAGTAGCAACAGGAGCATTGCCATCAAGGATGGGCCTTGTGAGGTGTCTGAGCTATGCAGTGCTCTGCACTATGGCACAACACCATCCCAGAGATCCCTAAGACATCTCCAAACAACACCAGTGGTGCCACAGAAAGGTCCCCAAGACACCTGAGTACATCACTGACCCTGCACAAACTAACTACTTCCCATTTGGTTAATTACTCCAAATGCAGTGCCATATGGCTACCCCTCAGCCAGGCAACCTCAATTAGCTTTCTGTCCTTATGTGGGGTGCAGACAAGCCCTTGCAGGCAACGTGTGACATGGATCCTTGGGGCACTTCTGTTTCAGGGAGATGAAAACATCTCCATTAAAACTGAAATCCTCCCTACACCTTCAGAGCATCTGTCTGCCTGGTAAGGAGATTTGCCTTTTGACTGTGACAGCTCAGCAGGAGAGATTAGAACTCAGATAAATGGCTTACAGTTTAGAAGAGACATTTCAGTTAGCCCAAAAGCATTAAGAATGCTTGACTTTCAGATCTGGGAATTCAATCAGACTGAAGGGAAAAGGATGACTTGTCACTAGGCCTGTCAGCACACACTCCTGTGGGCATCTGTCAGTCCAGGATGGGGACAAGCACTTCAGCAGGTTCTGCTGAGGTTTTCCAAGGTGTATCTCTTGCTGTCCAAGCAGTGCAGCAGATACATTTCCCTAAACATTATCCTATAAATATGATAAATGGGCGTGATTATCCCAGAGCTTACTAAATACTCTATCTATCACCAGCTATTTATCTGGTACCTATTCCAGAAAACAAGCAGCGTTCTCAGTACTTTAATTACACAATTGGGTATTCTGATGATACTTCCTTGGGAAAAACGCTGTTAATTCTGTTCTGTAAAATTGTTTACACTGTGAAGTTCTGTGGAGCATGAAAATTCAGCAAGAGACTCACCAAAGAGTAATTAATCCTCTAGTGAACAGGTTTCCTACCTAGAACACACTATTTTGAGGAAGGAAAAATAAAACATTAGAGGAATCCATCTGAGAATACACCAAAATGCCAGTTTCATGTCCCTAAGATGCAACTGAAGAGTCTCGAGTGGCATATACTTTTGAACATCCTTGCACAGGAGAAAGAATCAAAGTCTCCTAGTGGAACCACTTCTGCTATTTGGCATTAAAGGAATGGTGTAATTCAATATGGCCCAGAATAAAATATCTAACAATAAAAAGACAGGTTCAGTGGCACATATGGAGAACAGTGATTTCCAAAGCTGGCCATCATGCACAAAATGTGCTGAGCATATCTATTTCAGAAATATCTCCCTTGGATCATGAGCTACTGCTGACAGTGACAGTCACCAGCAGCTGCTTCAAATGAAGGAGTTGGTGTAGTACGTAGTTTTAATTCAAAGTGAGAAATGCAGAGTTCAGGGGAACTGGTTACAAACACATGTCCAACGTGTCTCACACTGGGCACAGAAAAAGGGTCATGTTTCAATTAGAGCTTTTTAAAATGCCACTCTAAAATTATCTGACAATAAGATGGTTTTATTTGTATGTCCAACACAGCTCTCCTCTAACCCATGTTCTTCCTCTTCAGTCTACTTTCCCAACTATTTGGGAAAACCAGACACACTTCCCAGCTTGCCTCTAAGGCAAACTGACTTTGCTTGAGGTAGCGGAAGCTATTTCTCAACACAGTGTCCCCCGTGAAAACACTGTGCAAAGGTTTTGCCATTTAAACCTTGGAGCAGTTAGCACAAGTGGCTCAGATATCCTCTAGTGGGACAGGACTACACTGCAAGAAAAGGGGCTCTCCAGTGTCTGAATCCTGCAGCTTGAACTCAGCAATGCCCTGAGCTGCACATGGAATAGAATGTAGGTGACACATACCTGTGCTGCAGTCAGCGTGGGTCTGAGCCATCCTGAAGTCTACAGCCACCATCCAGGTTGCTTATACAATGCGCGTGCTAGGATCAGAGACGGTTCCAGACCATCTCTGAAGCGAGACTCCCAGCTTTCCCCCTATCAGAGTGTACATGCAGGTGCTCATTAAAGAGCTCTGCTCAAGCTGTGCAGCAGCAGATGCAGCTGAGTTCCCAGCTCTGCTCTTGCCAAGTACAGTGTGGACATTCTGCACCTGAGCTAGAGCCAAGTGACAGCCCATCATACTGGTGGAAAATCCATGGATGAAGGCTCAGTGGCTGGAGTCCTCCCCAACCATTCTGTAGAGGCACAAACTCCTGAGTCCTCAATGTCTACACTAATACAACGTGTTGCAGGAAACTCATCTGGAGGTGACTGACAATGTAAGTGCTATCATGAGCTCATGTTTTTTTTTTCCCAAGCCAATTCCTTTCAGCGTTCCCCAAGCAAAGAGCTTTTCCCTAGGGTTTGCCCACTCCAAATGCCCTCTTCCTGATGGAGATCTATTCAAGTTTTCTACTGTCAGTACTCAGTTAGGTGTCACAACTCCTTCTTTTCATCTGTTACACACACAGGTGGAGTCATCAGCCCCAAAAAGCAAGTAGGCTGATTTGCTTGGGGTACTATTGCTCCTACATTCAAAGCAATCAACAGTACCTGAGTTAGGTACATACTGTAGACAGCTTGAGCACAGTCCCTCAAGGGCAAGGATCTGCCCTCAGATGACTGTCAGAAGCTCTCAGTGACATTAGCTTGGATTTCAGAAAACAGAAATTGGCACTTAATACTTTCAATTTTCCTTCAACACATCTGACACTTTAATAGTGTTTGTGATCTTTTTTCTCCTGATCTCTGAATCCCATAAATGCTTATTAGAGTAATTAGCCTTCATGATACTGCAATCAAATCGGGCATCTGCTCAGAACTGGCCTTTTCTGTGCTCCCAGAGGCCCGTGAACGTGGCACAGCCTCCTGTCATTAGCCGTATTTGTGCTGTGCGGGGTGGGGCATTTGACGAGAGAACCAGGCAATTTTGTGCGTAGTGGCAAGAAGTTAATTCTTTCCTGAAGCATGTGATAATCAACCCAGAATTTTGGCTGCATGAGACAATTTACAGCAAAAGTTCAATTATGATACAGTAAGAGTAAAGAACCACGAGAAAGGAAAGTGTGTGTAAACAGCAGAAAGGAGACAAGTAAACACAGAGCAGCAAGTAATTTGCTGTGCCTGATCATGATGGGACCTGTAATGAAATCAAGGATCTGCTGCTATTTTTTCAGTGTGATCTTTAACCTGACTATTTTTGCAGTGCAAAATTAGTGTGTGAAACTCATTGCTGTTAGAAGCACCTACCACTTTTTATTTCTTAAAGCCTGTTTATTTATAAAGACGTTGAGACTATTCAAACCTCTATTTGTTCACAGAAAAATAAAGATTAAAACCTGCATGTTCACTGCAATATACAGCAGGTTAGCAGGGCAATAATCCATTCATTCTTAGCAAGGGAATACTATCATCTTTGCCTATGGCAGCTGGTAATGGCTCCTATCCAGCAGGAGATTAGACCATTTATCCAATCTGATTCGAAAATTCCCATGTTTCTGATGTCATTCCTACAAAAAAAAATAATGCTCCATCAGTTTTCATGGCACGGAGGCTGCTAGTCACTCGCGCTGACAAAATACAACTGGTCAAAATCATGCTGGCCATGAGGCTGGCTTGAGTGCTTTGCAGGTAGCCACAGGCAGGATCTGCCTGCCTTTCTCATAAGGCAACACCTGCTATTGCAAACACAAATCCCTCCGGCTGGCCCTCGGCTTGCCAAAGCTCAACTGTGGGGTGCCACATGCAACATATGCACATTGACTGATGAGCAATTCCTTCCCTTTCTATTAATCATCCTTCAAGGAGCCCTTTGCCCGTACTGGAGTACCACAGCTCTGCTGACACCTGCCCTAAGTGAAATAACAGCATTTTGGTCATTCAATGCCTAAAAAACCTAATTAAGTCTGCCACAGGTAGAGAAGAGGAAAGACAAAGGCATTATCAAATCCCCAGGTCACCCTTACGCAAACTGACTGAGTAAAACATTCAGATGACTCCAGCAATCAGACAACTCCTTGGGCTGCTGAGGAAGGTCCCTGCCAATGTGACCTGGGGACAAATTCCTTCCAGTGCCAACCTGGGAATCAGTACAGTCCTAAGCAAAGCCATCATGGCAATGTAGGGTTTGGAGGAACCCAGGAAGGATATCTATCCTGCTCTGAGGCAGGATCAGGCACACCCCTGCCATTGGTGACAATTCACGTAGGCTGTTCTCACAAGCTTCCAACAACAGGCACTCAACATCCTCTCTGTAGATACATCAGTGCTTAACTGGCCTTATACAGGGAATTTCCTTTACCACAAGTCAAGTCAATTACTCCTTACCATCTCCCCAGTGGACAAAGAGAACAACGGTTTATTCCCCTTTTTATAACAGCCTTCAAATGGGCAAAAGGTTGCTGTGTCTCTGCTCCTTTCTCTTTTTTCCCAACCCAACAAAACTAATTGCTTCAACAATTGCTTCCAGGACCTGCTCTCCAAGCCTTCACCATTCCTGTTCTTCCCCTTCAGCCCTTCTCTGCAGTGGCAAATGCATGGTACAGAACCACCCCTAAGCACTAGCAGACAGGAGTTCCAATCTCTTCTATCTTATATTCCTGCTAATAAATCAGAATGACACATGTCTTTGTGCAACAGTATTGTACTGCTGACCATTGGCGGTGATCTGCTATGCTCTCCTTCTGGCACCCTGCTGCCTA